AAAAACATCATAATGTAAATGTGTTTTACTGAAATCTACAAAGATTTCATGAACAGTCTTATCCTCCAGTTTTTTTTTTAAACAAAACTATTGGTATGATTATGTTTTTTTCATCAATACTTTTCCGCGGTTTTAAAATCTTGTCTGTGTATAGAGCATGCTCTTAAATGTACGTATCTTGCAAAGTTATAAATGCAGGTAATACAGAGGCGAGTTGAAGTTGTAACTTGTCACAAAGATCTTTTTGTAAGGACTTTACGTTTGCATTCCTTTCATATACCGGGGTATGTCATACAAATAGTAAACAATGCTATTTTTGCTTCATAAATATTTAGACAACGTTACATGAGGTAATATGTGAAATATATATACTTTGCAGATCTCGAACATTAAGAAATGATAATAAAGGAAAGAGGGACAGATACGCAGCAACAAACATCTCCAACGATAATTGTAAGATAACCTTAAAATTATTTTTTTCGTGTGTAATAAAAGGTACTTTTAATGTTAAAGATGGGATTAATACTCCCATTCAAATGACTTTAAGTTATGGTTTATCAAGAAATAAATATGTATATCAAATAACTTATTTATTTACTGATACACTTCACATTAATTATTCTAAAGCTGACATAAACAAAATACTGTCTTGTTCAGAATTGTAAAGTATAATTTCTATTTCAGTTTTAACAAACTGAATAATTGAAATAAATGTATAAAAGGTGTGTTAAAATTTCCTCATTGAAGCTTCTTCAAAATCGGGGTTCACAAATATCTATGAGAACTTTGAAAGATTTTCAAAATTCAAAGAAAACAAGGATCCCAGTAAACAGGGCCTAGAAATGAAAACAAGACAAAATGAGCGTGACGATGATATTGACCATGATGAGAAAAAACACGAAGAAAACCCATACGGAGATCTTTACGTTAATGATGAAGCCATCCCAGACATAAAAGTTGATCAATTAGAGCGTGTTATTAAAGAAAAACAAAGGCATGAAAATGATGGTTTCAAAAGGGAGTATGCGGTAAGATTTTTTTTTTGATATCTTAGTATATATTTACTCAAAAGAAATAGTTATACATATTATAGGTTTCGCTTAATTAAATGAGTTACAACTTCACTCTCAGACTGATGATATAAATTATCATCTTCTTTTAAAAACTAGACTATGCCTTATGGTGAGAGACATCCTTGCAACACTGGGAGAAAAACAGAAAACTTACCTAAAAACAGATACAAGACTACCTTTCCATGTACGTTAACGGTTAAATATACAATGTTGATAGTAGTCATTAAAGTTATATATTACGGTCAGCGGGTTAATTTAAAAATACTTTCAGATGACCATTCCAGGGTCAAATTGTCCAACAGCCAGTCTGATTACATCAACGCCAATTTAATTGACGTGAGTAATTTGACAACAATAATTTTCAAATGTACTGTCATTCAAGTTACGGAAAGACAGTTTTGCACTTGCAAACATTTTAAGATTACTTAAATTGCAGACTCAATAAAAAGGTAACGTTTTGTAAAGTGTAAACTAAAAAAAGTTTTATTTTCCACTTAACCAGTATGAAAATCCTATAAAAAGTCTGTTCGAAGTATCTTTTGTGCTACTTTTTTAGTTTTTTCAAAATGGAGGAAAATCCCGTTTTTCGAGACGGATGGAAATTTAACTCATGGGAACGCTTCTTTTCATAAAGTGTTGATTTATATTTATATCTGATCAGTAATGAGTTAGGACATGGTTGAAATACTGTTTAACAACTTCTACCAGAGAAGAAGAGAATACTAACTGTAACATTCAGATCAAGATTCACAGATATTGATGAAGTTTTATCAATTGGCAATTGTTATGTTCATTCGTATGTCGCCTCTATCTATCTATACTACATCTGTTTTATATTTGGATTCTTTCTGAAAAAAAAGACGACGCGTTCAGTTAACAACTTCATTGTATTAATAATTACGTAATCTTCAAAACAGTACAGTTTAAGAGAGAACATACGTATTGTCAATAAATAGTTTCCCTTTCTTTTATTAACAGTCTTCAAGAAAATAATAAATTTTATTATTTTATTTATGATATGCTTATTTTTATTCACGTATTCTTGTATATTCATATCCATTTATGATATATTTTACCCCAAGAAAGGTAGCAGAGAATATCAAATTATTATTTTAAATGTTGTTTTTAGGGTATTGATAAGGCACATGCGTATATTGCGGCTCAAGGTACGAATAATTATTTCACCTTCCTTAAATAAGTTTATTTCTGTATTTTATTATACAAGTACAAATATCTGAAGAAAATGAATAATAATATTTGAAGTCCTACCGGCATTTTAATATTAAAAAATGAAACATACTTCTAACAGGTCCGCGCCAGAACACAGTGGCAGATTTCTGGAGAATGGTTTGGCAGGAGAATGTGACACAGATAGTGATGCTCACCAACCTAAAGGAGGGGACCAAGGTATGTCTCTGGGCAATTTACCTAGACATGTTATTGGAATAAATACACATAAAAAATAATACATTCAAAGAAAAATGTGCTTTTCTGCCCAAAAAGCATGAAACTATATACATGTACTGTTTTACAATACATACTATCTTCAAACCAAATCTTTACAGTTTGCTGATTGTAGCCTTACAAAATTATTCATTTCACGGAACATCTATTACAACTGTTCTCACTGAAATTAACGCTTTTTTCTAGGCAAAATGTGTCAAGTATTGGCCGGATTTGAACAAAAGTAGTACATCTGGTGAGATAATCCTACGCGCGGAGGAAGAACAAAGTTATGCAAATTATATAATACGGAAATTTAGAGTTAATTGTAAGGGGGTAAGTAATACAAAAGTTATACTAGTAATTATGTTAAAAGTTTGAAAAATATTTGCACGGGCAGACAGAACATGACCTTCTTTACATCTAATAAGAAACTTTCCCCTTTACGCAACAACTATATAAGATAATGTATTAAATGCATAATTAAAAAGAGTACTCTCAACAATGTCTTGTTCTAAGGTAAATTCAAAATTAGTTCATGCATGTGTATTCAAGGTAATTTGAAACTGAAACAAGATTATATAAATCAAGAATTCTTAAGGACTTTCATAAGAGAAAATTCAACTAAACCTTGATTACAATTTTACATACAGTTAAGAACATACCGCATAGTGACACAGTACCACTATACGACCTGGCCGGACCACGGGACTCCTGCACCGCTCTGCCTTGTACTCTTTCATGATCACGTGACTAGAACAAGAGAAAAACAAAAGGGAGGTCCAACGGTAGTATACTGCAGGTGAGAAAAATACAGGCCAAATTAGACTCAATTTAATTATCCATCCCTGAAGATAAATAACATTTGATATGCTCTTAAAATGGAAGACCATTTGATTCTTAGAGTACTGGCTAGCAGGCTTTGAAAACAAATATCTGTAAAGGAAATGATGCAAATAAAGCATTCATCCTTCACATATTTGAAATTAAATTATTTTACCTATGGCTATAGTAAACTCCCTTCTCTCAATGAGGAAACACTTCAAATTTGGGGTGCTTTGCTTTCATTGACGTATTTCATATTTTGTAAAACGAGGTTTTTCAGTGAGCGAGGATGAATAAATAAACAAACTCACTTTACAAAATGTGTTAGACCCGTCTTATCATAAAATTGTCAACAAAATGTCCTAACATATTGTAGAAAGTGAACTATAAGCATTCATTTCTGATACGTTTCATTTGTTTCCGATTTATTATCCTGGAAACACAAAGTCAATACCATTTAAACATTTGAATTCCTCATTGAAATACATTGTAACCTTTACATTGTACACTTTTACATTGTAACCTTTACATTGTACACCTTTACATTGTACACCTTTACAATGTACACCTTTACAATGTACACCTTTACATTGTACACCTTTACATTGTACACCTTTACATTATACACCTTGTAGTGCTGGAATCGGTCGTACTGGTACTTACATCGCTATAGACGCTTTAAGTAAGGCGGGAAAAACAGAGAGGAAAATCAACATCGCAGAATACGTGAAGACAATGAGAGAAAGTAGAATGAATATGGTTCAAACATATGTGAGTTTAAGAACAAGAAGAATGATACACGTATTACATAGTTTCTTGTCTCAAATTTCTGAATATTAAGAAATCTAAAAAAAATATTTTTACATGTATAATTTTAAGGAAGGTATAAAAAGTAAGAAAAAACCTGTTTTAACCATTTTGTGTTCTTAAAAAAATTTAATTGCTGCATTAGCCTGTATTGGTTAAACTGGTTGTAACAAATATGTGGGAAAATATCAAGAATAAGACATTTTAAATAATCGCTATTCTGAATTCTGATTTAACAATACATGGTTTGATCTTGCTTTCAGGAGCAGTACATGACTATTTTTCTTGCACTTGATGTCATGTTCAAAGCTCCAACCTGTGTACTCACCAAATCTGAATTCTTAAGAAGAGCAGAACTAATGACACGTGATCAGCCAGCCAATGAAAGTGAACTAAGAAAGGAGTTCCAGGTATTTTTAAAATTATTTTTAACATCGACTTCTTGTTTTGAAATATAAGGCTGGCGAAACTTGAAAATGTGTAAGAAATATGTTCGCGTTAGGGAAATTATTAGTTTCCTTAATAGGACAGTTTTATTATTATCAATTTAAACAAAAAAAAAAAGATATCATGACTAAAATAAAACTGAATTTAAATTTAAGAATCTTCTGAGAGTGAGACCATCATATACAGAAGAGGATTACACGTTTGCTTTGCAGGACGGGAATAAAAAATCATCTGTTCTTCCACGTAAGTTCAAGTAATTTCTACAAAATCGATTGGGAACATTACATCAATTTATATTTCAAGAAAAGTCTGTAAAACACCTCTCCATACGATCAACAAAGATTATGTAGGTTTTTTTAACCTCTAGATAATCATCTTATTTCAACTTCAAATTTAAAACTGTACACATTGATTAGCTCTTACTTAAACGATATTGCATAATATATCATTATATTGATCAATAAAAGTGTCCGAACATTTAAGATTTAAATGTTGAATTATAACTACTTCCTCTAGTAAGATTAGTGTCATAACTGAACTAGTATATTCTTACAATTACAACGTTTAAATTTAAAATCCATTGCCAAAAATAAAACTTTGAAACCCAAAGACTCAGTGACCAAAACCTTGAATCATATACGAGGGGTTATCAAAAAGTTCGTGGACTGAGGCTATAAAATTAGTACTATGTAGTATGTGCTTTCAAAATTTATACTGAACATAAAACAACAAAAAATAAAGAAATGTTGAAATTTTTAGCCTGATACGTTCATTATTTGACAAATTATTATAAAATAAAAACGACATTGTATGTTCACCCGGCGCTGTCGTCGTTTATTTTCATGACGTCCGACAACGGCATTGTTTTTTCAATGTCTGCCTCTTCTACCTCATACACTTTTTTATGAGATTCTCTGGAGCCGAGTAAGGACTAAATCCCGCCTTGTTTATACAATTTACAATGTCATGAACAGCGGCTTTCAAAGAATATAACATTTCAAATGGATTTATACATTGGGAGAGATCCTCGCTTGATTGTGCCAGCATATTTTGCTTTTGGGAGTTCAATATCTACAACAGATGATCAACGTCATTTTTTGACGTGATTGGTTTTTCACACCTTGACTACAAATCGACATTAACTGTGCATCCCTTTTCACTCTGAATCTATTTTAACACTAAAGACAAGTACTCTTGATGCATATTATTTCTCTATAGCCAATTTAAACATTTTTAGGTCTATACAAGTTTTTTTTTTTCAGGGGCAAAATTTTATAGAATGTTGGAAAAGAAAACCCCTCCCCCCTTTTGACGTCATTTTAAGGCCTCGTTTGTTTGGTCATTCCATGTAAAATTTGCGATAAAATTTCATAGAAATTCCAGAATGAAGTGAAAATTTCATATTTTATGATACAATTGTGTCCTGACACACACCTGAATTAACGGGATTTTTGGATGTCAAATATTCATATCAAAAGAGTTTATCTCAGTTACTCAGAGGTCGGAAAAGTGTCGGGTTCGAGGTTGCGCCACGTGGACATGCCATTGCTTACAAAAACATTCCTAATTTATTAAGAAATAAAATATATAATTGATGGTTTATTACTTAGATAGAAAAGATGATGCTTACCAGATATTTAAAAATTCATTGATGTACCTAAAGCGGTTTTAATTTTATGACGCTAGTCCACGAACTTTTTGATAACCCCTCGTACATGTACATGGTAGTAAACGTACTAATTTGAAAATGAGTGATTCTAGTTATGTCATAACATCTCATAATACCGGGGTCAGAAAACCCAATTTACATATCAGACAAAAATTCCATAACAAATAGAAATTAACGTTTGTTAAAATTTTTGAAAGTAGATTGACTATTACAAATTAAAACTTCATGTACTTAATTTGAATACTAGAATAGTTTTAAAATGATCTAAATGTGAATCTATGAAAATGGTAAAAAAGTTATTTATATATGATCCTTTTCTTTTTAACAGTTGACAAATACAGTCTCTTCCTGTCTTCTAGTGTACCAAAACGCGGGAACTTTATCAATGCAGTCACTCTTCCTGTAGGTAGCAATTAAAAAAAATCTTAAGTTTCCTTTACAGTCATTTTAAAAAAATCATTTAAAATTTGTATGCTCAAACTTCTAGATAAAAAAAAAAAAAAAAAAAAAAAAAGAAGTGTTGGATACTTTTAAGATTTTAAGGATAGAATCTAGATGCTAATATATTTCCAGGGCTGGTACATGTCAATTACCATATTTATCTATTAGATTAAATCGCAATATTTTTTTTACTAAATACTGATTTTATACTTTGTCTAATAAATACACTTTCTACTTATGCAAATACTAATTCTAGTCTTACAGCAAATCAGAAGTATTCATCATAACACATTATCCCTCACCAGATGGTGCTGTTGACTTCCTGCGCCTGCTCAATGATCACGAGTCAGACTTAGTGATTTGTATGAATCCCCTTAGAAACATAGAATCGGTACGTAGATTTATAACTTAATCAATAACGGAAACATAACATAAAAGAAAAATTACATTTGTGTTTATTTTTTTTCTATGCCGAATGTCGAAAGTTGAATTTTTTGGTGAAAATTTTTCTGAGGCCATTTTTTTTCTGATTGTCTGACTTTTTTTTTGCATAAACACTAAACCAGTATCTTTTAACTTTCCACCGAAGCGAGAGGTATCTGATCATTTCAAAAAGTCTTGTTTCTGTTCCAGCATAAACATTGGCTGCCGACTACCAACAGCTCAAAAAGAGTTTCCCCATTCTCTATTCACTGTGGAAGTGAACAAGTGACAGATATTAAATGTACAACAATTAGCATTTCTCAGGATGGGGTGAGAAGAATTACTGTGAAATAACTTATTTTCGACAGGGTATCAGTATTATTGTTTTCAAGGTATTAAGGAATGAACGAATTCATACCCCAAAACGATATACGAAATAAGAAATTTCAGTACTACTGAACAGTGGTGTTTCTTTAGGTATGATTTATTTTCCCCTCAAACTCTCTGAAATAAATACTAATAATTTTTCAGTATTTGGCAACTATTTGGCTGGTTAGTACAATGTCATGTACAATGATTTCAATCGAAAGTAGCATTCTGAGAGTATTAATAGTTGTCCCCTACCGGCAGGTGTAATCTGTTTCCCTTTAAAAACTATAAATTTTATAATTCCGTCAAAAATCAATTAAGCAGATCAGAATGCACACTTCATTTATTACTCATCAAAGTAAAATCTCATACCAATATCTGCAGACCTTAAGAAGAAAAATTGTAGAAAAACTCTGAAAAAAATTAACAAATTCTATTTCTGTCAAAAACTATGAAGCGGAACAAAATGAAAATTTGATCTGTAATTCTTGAAGGTACACTCACATACAAAAATTCAGCTCAATATCTGCAAGGACTTATAAAAAGGGAAAAACACAAAGTGGGACACACAGGCGGAAGGACGGACGAACGGATAATTTGAGAGGAAACCTAACCCACCCACCCCCTCCCCCTCAGATTTCACCGGCAGGGAACTAATAATTGCTTGAATATATATCTGAATACTTACTCGTAAGAATCATTTTTTTTCATATAAATTGTAGAAAAATGAGAATGGTTGTTCAGTGTCAATAATAGAACCAACAGAAGAAATGCAAACAGAACGTTCCCAGGCTACAGTGCAGATGTTACGCTTGGTTTCCTTTGCTCTTCAAAGTGAAACAGATGGTCCTATAACAGTAATTAGCAGGTAATTTATGCTTTACGGATTATCTATCGTTGGCTTAAGATCCCTTAATGTTTTATTTTTGAAATACACTGTATATTTTATTTTGACATTGCATCAAAAAGACAAATCTTAGTCATTTTTCTTCTCTTGAAGAATTACATATTATTTTGGTTACCGTGTATTAAAATGTATTTAATTACTGTTTCATGTAATAACCGTTAACCATATTCAAAAAAGAAAACTTAATGTCACCGGGTCTTTTGTAGGAATAAACTCCAACACAAGTAATTTATTATTGTGCTTATAGCAAAATAAACCTACAAAGTATAAATCAAACACACTCTCACAACACAATACACACAAGACAAATACTTTACATTTAAGATCAGACATTAACAACACATAAATTATATGATTGTTCGCTGTCGGGATTAATTAATAAAAGTAAAATATAAAATACGTTTACATGATAATTATAATAAAGGTAAACAGAAAGCTTACCAGGAATCCAGTTAATAAACTCCAAGTAAGAATACTTAGAATAGTATAGTACAAATTCTGTCTTCTACCGTAAAGGCAAAAATCGTGGGGGTCAAGAATTTGTCGGGTACAGTGCTTATATACTGAGTGCAGATATTAAAACATGAATATTAATGAGGTACAAACGGTCAGTTATTGATCATTAGTAAGGTCACATAAGGTCACCAAACCGGAAACACGTGTAAATACGAAAATAACCAATGTCACATGATCTCTCAAAACATTCACACCAGACACACAACAAACAAACGCAGCGAACGTGCTTAATTGGCAATGCGCGCCAATTACAAGAGTAAATTAAAATATAACATCTGTGACATTAACATCGCAATATAATGATCAATGAAAACACTTTAATAAATGTTAGGTCTGTCTTTAAAGGTTTTAAAGGGACATGGACACAGTTTCAGCTAAATTATTTTTTTTCATTTTTTAAAAATATTCAACTAGGGTCTTTCTAATGATCATCAAAAATATGAACGTCAGTTGTCGAGATACAAGGCGGATTTAGAGCTTGAAACCTTTGTTTTGTAAACAAGGACCGTGTCATGTTTTTGTTTACATAGGTTAATATACTAATATTATATATGTTCGTTCAAAGTAGATAACTTCAATAAAAAAGTTAATTTTAAACTCGATTTGACAGTTTCTATTGATTTGCTGAACTTTATTTTCTTATAAATATGATATTTTCTATACGTAAACAAAAACAAGGCACGAGCTTTGTTTACATTATAAAGAACTTTAAATTCTGTATCTCGTTTGATAATCGCCCCTTGCTTGTCGTAAAAGGCGACTTAATGAGGCGGTCCTTCGGATGAGACCGTATAAACCGAGGCCCCGTGTCACAGCAGGTGTGGCACGATAAAGATCCCTCCCTGTTCAAAGGCCGTTAGTGCCGAGCATAGGCCTAAAATTTGCAGCCCTTCACCGGCAATGGTGACGTCTCCATATCGGTGAAATATTCTGGAGAGGGACGTTAAACAGTACACAATCAATCAAAAGTTTGATAATCAACAAATGATGTTCAAATTTTTGCTAATTATTAGATGACGCCTAAGGTAGGAACTGTAAATATTAAAATTGGTTAAAAAAAATTCAGTTGAAACTGTGTCCATGCCCCTTTAAGTATTCTGTGACTATTGAAAATCCTATGCAAATACTCGATTTAACTTGAGGCTTTAATTTGATTGTAAAAAAAACAATCAATCTTCAATTCTAACGAGCTGTAAGGTGCGTACTTCCGTCATTTAGTCTTTTAAAGACCAATATAAGGTGTTAGTTTTTTCCTAGGAGAAATCCAAATTAATAATTTTTTTTTGAAAAAACTTTGTTAGAAAATTAACGGATTTTAAGTATTGTTTTGATTTTTAGTGATGGAGCAGTTTCGTGTGGGGTATTCTGTGCAGTATATAATGCGATACAACAGTTGTCTATAGATGGGGTGGTGGATATCTTTTCTACTGTTCGACAGTTACAGATAAGACGACCAGAATTATGTTCTTCAATGGTAAATTCTATCATCAATGCATCACATACTTGTATAATTATATTCTAAAAGTTATTTTTTCTTTCCTCATTTTTCAAGAAAAAGTGAAAGACTGTATTAAAGTGTATGATACTTTTGTTTTAGGAGGAATACAAAATGATTTACGATGTTGTATTGGATTACATCCGGGCACAAGATGATTCATCTGAGGAAAATATTTATTGCAACCAATAGTGACATTTTTCTAAGAAAGTGTTTTTACCTTGATCATTTCAATTGGTCTGGACAATCATAAATTTGCTGGCTGCGCAAGATATAATTTAGTCGCCTGCGAGCGGTACCAAGGGATCACTTAACCCGGCGTCTGTGTGTCGGTCCGTCCGTCTGTAAAACCTTGTCTCTCAAGAAATGTTTAAGAGATATGGACTTGGTATTTTCCACATTCATTGCTTGGCACTTTATCATTTATAAATTGCGAAGGTAACCGACCGTTTGACTCTTAACCTTTTGACCTACTTAAGTTAAAAATGCCTATATACAGCATTTGAAATTTAGGGGGTAATTCTATTTAGCATGTTCACTGACTGCCATTAAACTGTATGATCAATACCAGCGTTATAATTCATTTGATCTTAACCTTCTTTACAAAGAATATCCTGCACAAACTTCTTGAACTTTAAGACTTGAATTTTGAGTGGCAGGTGTTAATAATACTTATACGAGTATATGTCTATGAGCTCATAAAAATCAACACAGGTGGCCATTCCATGCCGATACCTGTGACAATAAAGCTGTCAGGTGTATATACAACGAATATACCCTAGTATTGATTGATTGATTGATTGTATAGTGTTTAACGTCACTCTTCAGAATATTTCACTGATATGGAGACGTCACAATTGCTGGTGAAGGGCTGCAAATTTAGGCCGATGCTCGGCACTTATCGTGCCACACATGCTGTGACACGGGGCCTCGGTTAATACAGTCTCATCCGAAGGACCGCCCCATTTAGTCGCCTTTTACGACAAGCAAGGGGGTACTGAAGACCTATTCTACTCCGGATCCCCACGGGGTCCCTAGTATTGATGTATCGTAGATAATGCTATCAAAAATGGCGTATGCCTATTTTCAAGTCGTGTTCAGCTTTAAGGATCAGCATATTTTGTTCAGAAATCAATATCTATCATATAAGAATTAATAAAAAATATATTGAAATTTTTTTTAAACATTACCTTTAACTAAGCTAATTTCTGAACTTAGTGGTGGCTTAATAGTGACTTAATGGCATCTTAAGAGCAATTCTCTGTATTCACCAAAGTAATTCTGAAAGGATTTGTCACGCATAGTCTCAGATTTTCTTCAAACTTGACATATAGTATCTTCCTAAGGTAAAACTGATATGTTTGTCATGATTTTTTTCTGGACATACTCTGTTACCATGGTAACCGGGATACAAAATTTCTCACAAATATGGCCAATTTGTGCATGGCAATATTGAAAAAATCACATATTTTACACCATCTGTGCTGTGACAATATTTAGGATTAGAACTCTGTTGCTAATTTCTTATGTAACTACAACATCAACACGTTCAATGGATATCTTTAATATGTTTTAAAGATTATCTGAAAATTTAGTTATACTTTGTCAAACAATGACAAAATATCGATTTTTTAAAAGAACTGCGAACGATAGTATTGTTCTCCCGCCTACCTCCAAGTCAATTTTCAAAAGTTAACATATTCGATGAATTTTTTATATTTTTTATAGATAATTATATGGATTTTCATAAAACATTACTTATTTGGGAAAACAAAGAGAGATAACTCTAAAATTTTGGTAAAACTTGTGTTTTTTCACTATAGAAATCAACGAAAACGGAAAATATTTTTGAAACATCTTTCTCCCCCGTGTCACAAAAATTCCTTTTTACAGGTAATATGGAATGGTATTTCACAAATTCATACCAAAGCTTTTTGTGTGACACGGGGGGGAACATATGTTTATTGACAAAAAACGATAAAAATGCATATTTTTCACCAATTTCAAAGCGATATACAACTGAAATATCATATTTTATTAAAATATTTATGTTTTATTTATCTGCCTAAAACATAAGAAAAGATATTAGGAACATTTAATCATATCCAAGACCATTTCAAAATAGGGTGATGCTTGAAACTACGATTTCAATGGAAAATATAGTCTACCCCCTTTTTTCAAGAGCTGGAATTATGGATAATTTACTGTTTAGCGCTGGTATAAGGACGCTTTATCAATTACCATTGAACTGTTCTTTGTATTAAACAAAGATTTTATGGCCAAATTGCTAGTCATATTGAATTAATTGGTTCCAAAATATAGGCTGGAATCGAGAGTTAGCGTGCGTGTTTCTTTAGTCAAAACTGAAAAATTACAACGTTTTGGGAAGAAAAATGAAAAAAATTGCAGAACTTTCACAATGTATCACTTATTTCATCTGAAGGTACTTGTCACAAATAATGAAAATATTCAAAAACATTCACGGGCAAATATAACATTAGATATTGACTATAGCAAAATGAAAAATCATAAAATTGGCATTTCTCCGAAATAAGCTTTGATGAACATTTCATATATTAACAAGATACATTTTTTTCTTTATAAAACAAAATTCAACTAATTTAAGCTTAAAATCTGTAAAATCAATTAGGCATTTTCAGCTGACCCATAAAAGAATATTGTTTCATAGCTATAGGCAAGAATATGATCGAAAATATAGCAGCCCCCCCCCCCCCGCTTTCTAGCACAATACAAAAATAACAATCCTGTATTACTGCTTACTGCAATTAATAAGGCTGCATCACACTTCCTTAATGATATAATATATGAACATGATTTATGAAACAGAATACTACAATTCAAAACACAAAAAACTAGTGCTAATTGTAACGGGGACCGTTACAGATGTTCCCCAAACGCTCCCCAACTCCCTTTTGGTGCCATATTCCCTGTAATCTCTATTAGATGAGAAATACTTTATGGAATTTAGACTTAATCAAGGTCTTCCAAGAAAAATACAAAATATATTTAAAAATAGGCATTGCACGCGTGTTCATGTGCGTAACGACCATATTATCTTGTCTACACTATCTAAAATTTTAATATACTTAATATCAAAGCATTTAATCCGAAAGTATTAAAAATACACTCATTCGAATGTATTTTTAATTTTACTCATTTCACGTGCACGCACGTGCATAATGACTACACCTTCTTGTAGGAGTCCCTTATATTTATCAATGTTCTAAATCCAATCCTGTTTGGTTGAAAAACAAGGGAGTTATAGCCATTTGAAGTTTCAGCCAATCAGATTACAGCACACATGCATGCGTGTGATTTCATGAATTTTTATCTTTATCGTATTGAAGAATATCTAAATGAATGACTATATTTTAAAATTCGCAATATATCGTCAAAAAACTAAGGAGATATAGCCATATAAAGTTTTAGCCAATCAGATTGCAGCACACGTGCATGCGCGTGACTTCATGATGTTTACCTGTATCATATTTTAGGATATCTTAATGCATGACTATGTTTTAAATTTCAAAGCATTTCGTCAAGAAACAAAGGAGGTATAGCCATTTAAAGTTTCAGCCAATCAGATTGCAGCACGCGCGCATGCGCATGATTTCATGAAAATTTTTATATATCTTGCTGTAGATCTTCATAATGTAGGACTATGTTCAAAATTTCAAAAGATTATGACAAGAAACAAGAAAGATATTGAGACTTTAGTTTCAGCCAATCAGAGCAAAGCGCACGTGCATGCGCGTGAGATCTTGCTATTTTGACCATGCCATCTTGTCTATACTACTAATGTATCCTTACATTATGAGTTTCAACAAAATTAATCAAGAAAAAGAAAAGTTACAGCAATATCCATTATATTGGTCATTTTTCGTGTTGCACGTGCGCGCTCTTGCAAGCACGTGCGCGGAAAATGACCTTCGTTCGGCAAATCTACATAACATGTCTACTGACCCTAAAAACATTTTACCTTAGTCGGATGTGTAGTTTACAAGATCACTCGTGGACAAAATTTTCCCAGGAAGAAGAAAAATAATAATAATAAGAAACAGAGTAAAAACAATATGTTCCCCAACTTCGTTTGGGGAACATAATTATATAGTTACATATGATAGCACAAAAGGCTACAAAGTATTACATTTAAGGTAAGTCACTCGTCAAATTTGTTAAATCAAGGATTTTTTGGGGGGGAAGTATATTTTGGATAAGTACTCATATAGTATGACTCAAAATCGCAGAGAAAATAGGGGGTCAGTTTGCATCTTTCTGATCTATGGTACAATTAAGTTGACCTTTTTGTACTAAAATTGTAACTCTTTGATTTATTACTTTATCTCTAATTTTATTTTATCAGATGTTAATAAATTTAATCTTATTTTACATAAAATAGGTTGAATAATATTTACCATTGAACATATCTTGCTAATTAAAGCTGACATGAATTCTTAAAAACGTAACATTTTCATCTATGTACATGTACGACTTGTTTCATACCAACTATAGCCGTATTTCGCCATATTTCTTTCAGATACATTGTCTCATTGTAACGATATATACCCCAATGCGGTCGTTACACTTGAATGATTTTTTGGCTTGGGTATCGACTTGTGCACATTTCCGATGGTAAAGAACATGAGAACACATTAGGTGATCAAGACATTTCAAAACCACAACAAACAACACAATGATCAAATTTTGAATAATTATTGATTTGAATCAAAAGGAAAAAAAAAGTGCAAGTTTGGAAGAGAAATTTAGATGCATGAGTACGTATTTTACAGTGCGCAAATTTATGCAGAATAAACTTGAAATAAAAAGCAGTAAAATCTGCAAACATATTTTGAAATTATATCATTTGAATGGAACAAAACAACCTACGTCTTTGATTTGCAGGTCCTAAAGATTGATACATATCGAGAAAACGCCTCGAACGCTGTAAACGTACCCATACCTGGAAATAAGGTTACTGCATCGGTTCGAAAATGTGCACAAGTCAAGTGGTATACACCCTGAATTCCATTTATTGAAATATGCATCACAAAAAGAAATAAACTCCATAAAAGCTCAATAGTAAACACACCGTCATTACTCCGTACAGTCGATACACTTAGTCCGTGCTGATCACATTTTGGTCAGGGAAAATATTTACAAGTGGAAAGAGAAGTT